TGTCTGTGTATGTGACTATTCCGTGGGAAGGTCAGTGGTGGACAGAAACAAAGTATTTTTACTTTCTTACTGTACTTGAGTAAATTTTTTCAATTATCTGTACTTTGCTGAAGTATTTTTATTTTGAGAAACTTGTACTTCTCTACATTCCAAAGCATAATATTGAAATTCTTAAACCACTGCATTTCACAAAAGCATATCGTTCCTCGGTATTTTGAACTGGTGAAATCATGACCCGCTCCGAGACAAGACAGCGGTGTTCGATTTGTGAACAAGCTGATTCTTTTCAACAACCCTGTTAAATCAGTTCGCAAATTGAATGATTAATTTGTAAATTGTACTGATCGGATTGCAGCTGTTCTTGAGTCAACAACTTGCTGATTCAAATGATCCGGTCAGAGCGAGTCTCCAGTTAACAGTGAATTCACATGTCTCACTCTAAATGAGCCAAGAACAGGACATCCTTGAGTGCACGCTACTGATGGCATGAAAAGTTACTAATGCCTTGTTTCAGGATTTATTCTTGTAAATGAAAATCATATTTAGGTCATGACTGTCAGTTGTTTGAGAACTAAATCTGCTGTAAAATGGCAAGCTGTTTAAGCCCACTGTATGATATGGTTGAAAGCAGACATGCCCACATTTGTGTACCACCATCTCAATGGGGTAAGTCTTAAGTAAAAATAAAATGACAGTAAAATAGCACAAATTAATGCCAAATACATCTTGCCTGTTGCTGAAGCAGTTTCAAATGAGTTGCACACTAGTATGTGTGGAATAAAAATTAATTTCTGTAGATTTTTCATGATTCTATATGCTGATGGAACATTGTGCTTTACTTAGAACAGCTGTAGAGACAGAATGAGATATGGTTTGAGGTTTAAAGATAACATGTATGGGGTGACAAGGGGGCCGGTATAGACCTAAAGTCAGGCTCGGGAAGACAACTGGGAGACATAGAGTTGCCTGTCTATGACATAGAAGGTAACCAAGTCCCTAAAATATGCGGGCCCGAGTATTAGAGATATGATATAGTGGAATGTGTTTTTGACTATTACCATGTGGGGAAAAGAACAGTTGTCAGGAGATGTAACCTTGAAGGCTAGGGAAGAGATATAAAGGTGGAGGAAGCCCTCCCTTCGTCGTCGCACTCTGCAGCAACTTGCGTTTCTATGACTATCTGACCTTTCTTGCAAGAAATAAAACCTTTGAAAGTCAATTGAGCGAGTTTGTCTCTTATGAGGTGAGAGTCATTTTTATTTTGCCACAACATATGTTTGCATAGCGTTCTTTATTTTATACATTTTGCCCTATGTGACGTCTGTTTCTACAGTATATATTTGTTTTTCCTCATGTTTTTAATACCTTGATATATATAGTTTTTCACTTGTTTGCACACATGAAGTATCTGTAACTTTAATATATTTAATGTTTTGATTATTTTTTTTTACCCTCATTCATTATTCCCTGCATTAATTTAGTGCAGTTGAAGGAGTGAATGAAAATGAGTGTGTGAATTCAGACACTGAGTTTGTGCTTGCCGTTTAATAATCATTTGATTTACTTAGCAAACTGGCAGCTCCAGCTCCAAACTAGCATCTCCAGCTCCAAACTAGCATGTGCAAACCTTATTTAAACTAATTAATAATCAGTTTCAATTAAATGTATACCTGTATGATTTTACGCTGTACGCACATTGGACAAGAGGTTTGGGAAATGGATAGGTGGATGATTCAGATGCAGGCACCATCTTCTGGCGAGACACAGGAATTAATTTGACACGACCCTCACAGTGCATTGTGGGTATTCTCTAGCTGCTGAGTGTACATCAGTTGTACACTCGTTATTGTGGTGCATTATGGGATTGAGTGAGTGCACTTGATAATGTCCACTATGGTTTCAGACACCACTACAAATGGCTGTTTTCTCAAATAGTGCCCTAATTAAAGGTAAAACGCCAATTTCAGACACAGCCCCAGTCTTTTCTGTCCTTATTGTTGAATGTACCCCTTGTGTTCAGCTCTGCTGAACCTTGTTGCTGGTTTGTTTTCCTTTACAAAGTAGTTCTTGTTTGTTTGAAGCCCATTAAACTCTGCTCTCGAGTTCTTGCCACATCCCTTACCCACAAAACCAGACGAAAAGTTTATGCAATACACAATTATCTTCAAGAAACAGTGAGATTTGTGTCAGGCCCTTTCAAATCAAGTTACACATTTTATTGATATTGTACCAATACATGAAGATAATAGACGAGAATGAACAGAAAATGCTATAAAGATAGAGATAAATTACAAATTACTTTCGCTATTTTTTGGCTGACACATCCATTTTATATTTTTACCTTGTCATTTATTTATTAAAGCTTTTGGCCTAGTATGGCTACAAGTACCTGAAAATTTAATAATTGATCATATGGTTTCAATAATTGATATTATTGGTAGTATTGATTTATTCAAATCTGATACTTCACTTTTAGTCATGAAATCTGATGTGTATATTAACTGATACATGTATGTGATTATATGATTGCTGTGCAGATGTCATTTTTAAATGTGCAGATATTTTGGATGCTGTCAGCAACCTGTATGTATGCATAGCTGTAGACTAAATGAAGTAGAAGCCCAGAGCATCCATTTCATCTCCACTTCTGCCTGTAATGCCATAAATCCTTCCAGACTTCACATCCAAACACACAGGCTCACCCAGTTGCTGACACTTGACAGATAATGTTGTTGTTATGTTTCCATTGCATTTTGCAACCACAAACTCAAACCCCCCACATCTGTTACCAGTCATATTTGGCCACAGTTTTGCAGAGATTATTTTGTCATAGTCATCGAACACAATTTCTTGATTCTTCGTTCCTGCTGAGTTACCCACTTTAATCATGTGGCCACAGTTGAAAATCACCTGGATTGAGTTCAGTGTTGTCTAAAAGGCAAACAAAACAAAGAAATCACATGAATTAAGTAAATAAAAAGAAAATGGTGTGATAAAAATAGTAGATATAAATATGCTACAATAGAATGAAACCAAAAATGAAATTAAAATGTTGTGATAAAAATATTAGGAATAAATATGTTACAATAGAATGAAACCAAAACACACCGCACTGTAAGTAACGTTGAACTTCTTAATGGTGGCGTAGGAGGCAGACTCAAAGGAGAA